CCACACACAGTTCAAACCCCAGGCTCTCTGCACACCCACTCACTGCCTCTGCTTTTCTTCTTGGACTCTCCATTTCATTCCAACTACCCCAGAATTAGATGAGAGCTGGGAAGCTGGAGGCTTCTGGGGGATCTCCTGGTTCTCCTGACCTGCCCAGTGCCCCCTTCTACCACCCACCTACCCCATTATCTACTGTCAAAAATGGCAGTTTGACTTGAACCCCACAGTGGTCGTTCCTTGCTATGGGGACCCATTCACACTCACTGCAGGGTAAATATATTCCTTAGTAATCTGCACTCACATTCCTTCTGGCATTATACTGTGCTCCTCACTACTCTCAGGAGACCAGCATCTGCACCTCTGAGGCTTTCTCACATCCCATCCTCATCCTGCAGACACCCTGCAGGTCTCCCCAGACCCACCCTCGATGATCGGCCCCTCCCCCACCCTGTAGTTCTCTTCCCTTGATGTTCTGGTGACTGACATGGTTTCACTTCCTTTATGAGCCTGCAGATCCTTGAGTAGCGAGGCTTTATCTTATTCATCTTTGTCTCCTAGGGCCTACCAAGGATTGTATAAAAGTTTGTCAAATTGTCCAAAGAAATAATGGAAAAGTTTACCTGGGGGGCTTTTTCTTTCTGATCAGATCACTTTAATCATTGGAAGGATGGAAGGCTTCGAGGAGGATGGCTTTATAATGAACATCTACTTATTGCTGCTCATTGCTCAGTGTGGTTTCTATATTCTCTCATTTGATCCTCAAGGGCCTTTATAGGGTTAGTATTATTACTCCACTTCCATATGAGCATAATGAAGTTCAGAGTCTGAGTGTCTGGCTCACTCTGTAGAGTTCAGGTCTTGGAATTCAGTGAAAACTAGGACAAGGATTCAAATTAACTCGATGTTACCCTCCAGCCATTGATGGAGTTAGTTGCTCAGCTTGGCATGGCTTAAGCTGTATGAAAAAGCTGTAGAAACCTGTCATTTTCTTATTCAAAATTCTTGTGATTCTGAGTGTGCTGTGCGAGCGTGCGCGCGTGTGCGTGCTTGCATGTGTGCGTGTGATCTCAACGCATAGATCAGCATTGAGGGTCATTCCCCAGGCACTGTCCATCATACTTTTTAAGACCAGGTCTCTTACTGACCTGGCACTCATCCTGTAGGCTAGGCTAGCTGGCTAGCAAACTCCAGGGAGCCTCCTGTCTCTAGCTTCCAGTGTTGGGATTACAAGCACCCTACTATGTTTGACTTTTGTTGTTGTTGCTTTTAACATGGGCTCTGGGGGTCAAACTCAGGTCCTCATGGCTGCAAGGCAAGTGTTTAGTGACTAAGCAATCTCCTTTGCCTGATAGCATTGTTTTCAGAACTAGTTAAACCTTATTCTCCAGGCTAGAGCTTCACACCAGCCTCAAACCTGAGAATACTGCTCTTCGCTGCCGTCACTTCTGCTGCGTGTTCTGAGAGCTGGACGTGTCTATGAGTATCTTTCTGTCTCTGCAGACTCCATCCCACCTACGATGATTTGTCAAGAATTCATTTGAAATGTTAGTGAGCTTCAGTCTGATGTACTTAATATGTAGTTTTCTTATACTTTCAGAATAATACCATTCTTGAAATGTGTTCTCTCCTCCCCCTTCCTGGTGCTGGCAATGGAACCCAGGGCCCTGTATGTGCTGAACACCAGCTCTGCCACTGAGCCATCTTTAGCCCCTAAATTTTAATTTTTCATGGATCGCCATTGTAGACTCTGGTCTTTAGAGACTCAGAAATCTAGAAAACTCTCTAACAAGAAATATATTCACTTCAGTCAGTTAAAGAGAATAGAAAGTGGAGGACTTTATCAGGTCCTGGAAGCACTGATAAAACTTAGGTTGGTTTGACAATGACAATGATTGACAGCCCGAGGAATTATTAAGAGCAAGCTTACTTGTCTTCACTTAACCCAAACATTGACTCTGGTGAGTCTTCCCCCTAAGCTAACAAGGTTCAGTTAGCCATAGTCTTGGTCTTGGCAGAATCTTGGTCGTGTCTCTTTCTTCTGCTTTCTGGATGGGGTCCAACATCCCCTAGTTTCCCGTCACCCTCTGGGCCAGTGTGTACAGTGTAGTAATTATGCAGTCACACAGTGGAGTATAATGTGTAGCTCCTAGCCCATTCAGTTCCACGTTTTGATTACAATTCACTGACTTGGGCCAAGGGTGGGTGAGAACAACCCTAAACACAGATGAGGCATAACTGCTGGGTGGGTCATTCCTACAACTTGAAACCAGAGAGTGTGGGCAGACCTCAGAGCTGGTACTCCCTGGGAAAAGATTCCCCACCCACAAAGGCAATATCATGCTTGTTTGCATATATTTACAAAGGGTTACTTTTTTTTCTTCATGGATTGTGATTTCAACTTAGGCACCAGTTTTTCTTCCAGGGATTGGGGTTGGGGTGGTGGTGAGGAAACCCTAGACATCATGTATGATATTTGGAGAAATAGCACATTAGTGGGATGCCTATTGTTTGAACACTACATGAGTTTCTTCCAACGGGAGTGTGTGCAGCCCCCTGAGGGAGAAAAAAAGATAGAAATAATATAGTTGTTTTGTTTTAAGGAACCAAATAGCATGGCTGAGGAGATAGATCAGTGGATAAAGTATTTGCATCGTAAGTGTGAGGACCTGATTTCAGATCCCCCATGTAAAAACACCAGGCTGTGCTTGAAGGTTTGAGGATGCAGGTTTGGAATTCTAACACTGGGGAGGCAGAGACAGGAGGACCCCTCGGGCTTGTCAGCCACTCTGCCTAGCCTAGTTGATGAGTTCCAGGTGCCGTGAGAGACTCTGTCTCAAAGAATGGCATGGGAAATAAGTGAGGAAGACATGCACAGACTGTAGTAGCCCACACCCTCAGTCCTTACACTCTAGAAAGATCTCAAGTCTGTTGATGTCCTCTCTCATTCTTTCCAAGTCCTCATCACAAGCACACCTTTTGTGCTGTGACCTGCATGGCTCAGTCCTAGAACCCTGACTGAGGCAATGCGGGACTGGGGAAAGTACAAGGCACTGAAGAGACAACAGACACATATACAGAAAAACTGGGATCCTGTGGACTGTGCTTGCTCTGATGGAGTGTACCTCCCATGCAACATCAGCCCACTTACTATGTGCAGACAAGGAGGAGAGGTTAGCTAGTCTGAAGGGGAGCAATCTCAGGTTGGAAGTGTCCAGGAGGAGGCAGTTGTGGTTGCTAAATTTTGCATATACTGTCAACATTTACAAACAGACCAGAAGAAGGCTTTGTAGTTCCCCTAAGACTAACCTGGGGAAGGCATGAGCATTCCCTGGGGTCTGAGACACTGAGGTCCTTGACATAGCAGGGCCTCTGCCAACAACACACGTTCACTCAGGACTTTGTCTGCTCCCCACACTCCACTTTCTCCTTTCATTGCTCTTGCTTGACCCATCTCCATGCTTCCTTGCTTCTCTCACTCCCTCCATTCCTTCTTTCTCTCCCCTTTTCAACTGTGCTAGAGGTTACCTTGTACAATAGGCAACCACTCTAGCTCTGAGCTACATTCTTAGCACACCCATACAACCTTACTTTCATGTTGGTGGAAGTTTCTGCCAGCAGCTCCCAAATAAACACACAGAGGGTTATATTAATTACAAATGCTCGGCCGATAGTTCAGGCTTGTTACTAGCTAACTCTTACAATTTCAATTAACCCATATTTTTTAATCTATGCTTTGCCACGTGGCTTGGTACCTTTTCTCAGTGTGGCATGTTCATTTTGTTTCTCTCTGCATCTGCTGGGGACTCCAGACTCCGCCCTTCTTTCCATCATTCTCAGTTTGGCTCTCCCAATTGAACTTTATCCTGTTCAGCTATTGATTGGCCAGTCAGCTTCTTTATTAAATCAGTCACAGTGACATATATTCATACAGCGTAAAGAAATATTCCACAGTTTTAGTTTGAGGCAAGCAAGGTGTTGCCATTTCCTAGGTAGGCATTGTACTTCTGATCCTCCTGCATCAGCTTCCTGAGCAGTAAGATGACAGGCCTGTGCTACCAGGCCAGACTTCTATCATTCTCTCAATAAACTATCCACCCATTCCCTGCCTTCCTCCAAACAAATGAAGGTTGTTGGGGGAAAAGCCACATGCTAAATTTCCTGGTCTGTGTGTTTCATGGTTATGCTATATCTTACTATTATCTTTTAAAATGCCTTTATTTAATTGCCTGCCTTTCTCAGCTTACTTGAGTGAAGCAAGTTCACTGAAAAAACTATATAAGCATAAAAAGGAAATCATTCATTCATCTTCCCCCCACGAAGCCTGGTCCACAAACCTGGTGGCACTGCATCACATGCACTTCTTCCCTTGTTGACAGACAAGGTCCTCCTGTGTCTGCCCGAAGCATCTTCCCTGCTTAGGTTCCCTCTGCAGGTCTCACAGTTCGCTCCTCTCTTTGCCAGCCCCCCATCCCCTTTCATGCCCTGCTCTTCAGCTCACAACATTACAGCCTCATGAAGGAGCCATCAGCACCTCTCCCCCACTTTTTCTCCTTCATTAATTCCTCAGGCTCCAGCTGCTCCCACACCTGCGACATTGCTTTTATCCAGATCCCCAGAATCTTCTGGGTGTCATAGTTGCTGCTTCCCTGGTTTTATCCTGACCTTTGAGCCGTCCATCATACTGGAACTGTTTTCTTGTCTTCATTTTGGTGGCTAGCCAATCTCCTCCTCTGCTTCTCCTCCTCCTCCTCCTTTATACACCTCCTGATTAGTTCTCACATCCTCCACTGAAGCTCATGTTCTATGAGGTGGGATGTCCCAATGTACCTCATTTCACTGATCTATCCAATTCCCCTTGACTTAGGCTTTACCTTACAGACCCAGCATGGTCTTGAACTTCGGGTGTGAAGATAGCAGTCCTTGTGCTCATAGATGAGGATGGTTCCAGAACTTCGGCATCAATGTAGGAATGGTACCAAAGTTCTTAGATGTTCTAGTCTCTTCTACAGAACAATGTAGTATTTATTTATGATTTACACACCCTCACATGTGTTTTTAATCATCTCTACAAGTGACACCGAATACAAGGTAAATACTGAACAAACAATGGCTAGGCTGCACTGTTTAAAGAACAAAGACAAGAAAAAGTCTGTGTACATGCAGTACAGACATGTCTATCAGAGACCTAACTAGCTCAGGCTAGGATAGTGGTCGATGCATGCTTGAGAGGGATGGGGGGCGGGGATCTGTGGTGGCAGGTAGTGGGAGGCTGCAGCTGGCTCTGCAGACACATGATTTTATCCATATTGATTCATTCAGCCTACTGTTTACTATATTATAACTCCTAGTTTCCCCTTTGCAAATTCTGGGTTTAAAAAAAGTATTATTCATACACATGCATGTGTGTGCACATGCTCTTGAGTGTGTGTGTGTGTGTGTGTGTGTGTGTGTGTGTGTGTGTGTGTGTTAATTAAGACCCCTGATTTCTAAGTGACCTAAAATGCTTTTCTGCCTGGTGGTGTGTTAGTGCACCTCTAACATAACCTGTAAAAATGACTCATTGTGACTACCAGTGTCTCTCTCCACTTGAATCTCTAGTTGTTGAGTACCTTGGACTCAACACGTCAAATACAGCTGCTGATAGTCACTTAACTAAGCTTTGCTTTCTAAAATATTCCATCTCAGTAAGCAGGAAGCACTCCCAGCTACCTGTTGTTCAAGAAAAACTCTAACCCTCCCCCCGACTCTCTCTCTGTGTGCTCACTTATACAGGCATGAGTGTATGTGTTTGTGGAGGTGAGAGGTCAACCTTGGGGATCACCCCTCAGGTACTATCTGTCTTGTAATTTGAGAAGGGGTCTCTCGTTGGGAACAAGGGTTTACTGATTAAGCCAGGTTGGCTAGCTAGTGCACCCTGGATCTGACTGTCTCTGCAGCCCAGTGCTGATCACAAGTGCATGCCTGGATTTTTATGTGGTCTCTGGGGATTGGATTCAGATGGTCATGCTTGCACAGCAAACATTTTACTGATAGGGCCATTTTCCCAGTTGCCTCCTAGTTGCCTTGACTGCCAAATATGATCCATCAGCTAGCTCCACCGCCTCGTGTTGAGATGTGCCTTCCTACTCCCTTTCCATCTCTCCATTCCCTCGTTAAGCTGCCAGCATGTCTTACCTGAGCCCATAGCACCCAGCACGTCCTCCTGTGCAGTCTTGCTCTTCCATTGCTAATTCTCTACAGAGCCATCACAACAATGCTTAAGCAGGGATTTGCCTGTCTCTGTCTTGTCTAATACTTCTGGGTGGCTCCTATGCACGGAAGGTGATTCTGCTCTTTGCCTTGGCCCACCAGACTCTACGACTTCAGGTTCTGTGTCCCCACCCTTCTTTCCCATGCCATAGTCTCCATCTCCAACTATTGTTGGGGGGTTTTCAAATCACACTGTGTCCACTGAGGTTGCATTTGCATGGATTAAATAAAATTAACCTTGGGTCAGGAGGCTGAGTTAGCAATCGGTTGACAGACAGTAGTCATAGAGCATCAGAGGACATCCGGGAGAGATAGACACAGGAAGTAGTTGGGGGGTGGGAATTGGAGTGGTGCAGGATTTTTCTGGTTTGGGTCTTTTGGAGATGCCAGTAAGGGGACAAGGTTAGCTCATTAACCCAGCCTCTCTGAGCTAGCAGATTTTCACCCCAGCCTTTGAATCTCGAGTCTTATTTATAAATAGTACAATAGGGATTTAGTTAAAGCCACCTTTAGGAGAAGTGACAGCTCCAGTGCCTGTGGGAACAGAATTCCCACCAGGCCTCAGCCTGAGTAGCCAGGCTGCTGCCAGAGAGGCAGGCCAGTAACTGTGGAGTGGCAATTGCTGGCTGAAATAGCAGTAGATTAAAACGCAGCCAGTGTGCCAAAGGTAAAACAACACACTATCCACAAGCCATACCGGCTATAGCCTCTTCACACTTCTCAAGCTTGTTGGCCTAGCGGGGGAGGGGGGGGAGGGGGAGGAAGCTTTGGCATGTATGGTTTCCTTTGCAAGATCTCTACCATGTGGGGCTTCTTCACCACATTGGGGGTTGGGGTGGGCCTGAAATTCACCCTCCACTCATTCTGTTGCAACCTCCAGGGAGACAGAATTTAAGAGTCCTGCTTGGAGCTCTTGCCTCAGAACTGGTCATCTGACTGGGCTTTGTGTATTTCCTAAATCTGGCTTAAGTCCATTCCCCCCTTTCTTCTCCCACTGCCAGCGTCACGATGTAAGATTCCTCCACTGCCTAGACTGTTGCAGTGTTCTCTCAGCCACCTCCTCCTCACCTCTGTGTTTGTGCCTCTCGTCTGTGCCCCTGGAATGACCGGCTGTTCTCCTCAGACACCCTTGAGGTGACTCCCTGGTCTCCCAGTTTCTGTTTAGCTGCATCATTTAACACATCTGTTTTCCTTTAGTTCCTTAAACATTTCTTACTCCTCTGGCACTAAGTCTCCCTTTGAGTATAAAGCTGCTTTATCTCTTTCACCTTCATCTCCAGCTCATCTCCCAGGGGTTAGCCTAGAAATGGTTTTCTGGAGAAACTGTCCTGCCCTTTCCCACTCCTCCGGACACCACAGTCGCCCCTTTCTGCATCTCCTGCTGGAGCAGGCTCTGCTTTTCTTTCCCAGCCCATACAGCGTTGGCATCTGGTTCACTGGTCCTCAATGCCTGTCTCCCTGCCTTCATCTCTGCAGCTAGAGTTTGGTGTAAAATGGCTCTAGGGCCAGGCTGCCTTGAATCCAAGAACCAGTTCCCTTTTTTCCTTAGCGGCATGAAATCAAGAAGACCATTTAGACTTCCTCAATGTAAAATTAGGCTAATTATAGTCTCCACCATATAGATTTGCTTTGAGTTTTAAATGAGTTAATAAACACAAAGCACTTAGTACAGTGCTTGGCAGATAAACACTCAATAAAGCATCTTGAATGTCACAGCACTGAGGGCTGGGATTACACTGTCTCCTTCATCCTGGCACATGCAATAACTATTTGTGGAGTATGTAAATAGTATTCTTCATGAATCAATTAAAGTCAAGAGTAGCCTTATTAAACACCCATGTTTGCTCTGCGCTGTTAATCTAGGATTAATAAAGCACAGTTTTCACAATGGAGGTTCATCTGCTCATCGAAAGGAAAGAGCAGTAGTGATTATAGCCTAGGTGCTGGGACTTGCCCTTGGAGTGTGGTCCATGGCTTGTGCTGTGATCTCGGGCTTCACTGTCCCAGGACTGAATGAATGGAGGCTCTGGAGAAAAGAGAGGGCCCACCAGATAGAGCAGCAGCAAAGCTTCCCTTGAAGGGTAAGCAGGATTTCCACGGAACAACTCAGGGGATGGAGTATGTCAGTCAAAGAGATAATAGAGGCATGGGGTGGGGATTCAATGTGCACAGAATGGGCTGGTGGAGCACTGATCTCAAGTGTGAACATGGTTACTGTCACTGTTACTGGGAAAGAATTCTTAGAGATGCAACTTGCCGGGGAACTCCCCACAATCACAGACTTAGAGTTCTGTGGTACAGCCGAGAGCTCCTGCAGTGTCCTCCAGCCAAGGGTCATTTTGGCTCGGTCCTGCTGCTGGCAGATTCTTAAGCTTTTCTCATTCCCTGCCCTTTCCACCTAAGAAATTCGTATGGACCCACCCAGTAGGTAGGTATAAAAAAGATACACAAATCAAACATTTCCAATACGTCATAAAGAAATTTATTTTAAAACATTCTTTGACATGTAATGTACCTTTATCATTTATTAAAGATGAAAGCACATTTGCATACTAACAAGATAGATGTGCTTGTTTATATTTAGGTAAAGGATTAAATTTTGGTTGACTATTGATACTGAAGGCCACAGAGCATTTTCATTTCTGGAGTTAATTGACACTAATGCTACAATCAGCAATGCTGAGAACATTGCTTCACATAAAAACCAGTACACTGTGGTGGTGTGTAACTGTTTTCCTGAGATTGAAACATTTTATCCTGCCGGGAAGTTCCTTAAGCAGCAGAGTAAAGGACTCAAAATAGCTTCAGGAAGTTCCCTAAACTGACCAGATTCACTAGGCCCCTCCCTTCCAGACTAAATAAAATGTGAGAATCCCTCTGAGACTAGAGAAGCAGAGCTGTAAAAAGGCTCTGTGACCAGTCCAGCTGCCTGGAAGAGGTTTAGACCAACTGAAGAACCTGGGAAGGACACTCTGACCTTTGAGCTGCCTGCAGGTTGTGCAGTGTGCTCCAGGCTCCCAACTTTTGTGAGCTATCACTCATGCTGGGGTGGGCTTTGGTGATGTAACTGTCTTTGAGTCATTTCTGCTCCTGGAAGTAACCCCTCACCCACATTCCTGTAAGTAACTCCTATGAAACTCATTGGCTCACCAAGTTGGACCTTGGTGACAATCATACTTTGATCTGTTGTGAAATTCCTATCAGGGGTGAGTAGACGTGTGTGCTGTATCTCCTCAGGAAGACTTTCGTCATACAACAAGTTGCAGACATATATTTTAGGATCATTCAGAAATCAATGGAAATTCTGTCCTAATCCCAAGCCCAAAGTCATTGAATTTCTTTTTTAAATGAAACTCAAGTCAGCAAATCAAACAGCAATTTTTGAAAATTTATTTTTACTAAAGTGTGTATTGGGGGGGGCAGGGAGGGCAGGAGCAAGGGAGGGAGAGAGAGGTGGATATGTGTGCCATGTTCTGTGCATGAAGGCCAGAGAACAATTTGATGGAGTCAGTTCTCTAACTTTTTTCCCACTTTTACATGGGTTCCAGGCATTGAACTCAGGTCATCAGGCTTGAGGCAAGCCTCTTTATCCATTGAGGTGTCTTGCTGACCCATGACCCCTAGCAGCATTTTTTAAATCAGACTTTCTGACACAGCAAAACAAAAATATACTGATTTTATACTTACATATGCTGAAGAATGATTGAAGGAAACTATTAAACTTCTTTGTTTACTGTAATTAAACTGTTGCTTTTAGGAGAGCAGAAATCGTTTTTTGATTGTATGTACAGTAAAAACATTTAAGCATTTCAGATCCGAGCTGAGCTGTTTCGGGTAGTGTCTGCTGCCATTGTGTGATGTGACAGCCTGCCCTGTGCCACAGGAGCTGTGTGTTCACATCCAAGGCTACAGTGGGTCATGTGCTACAATATGACTGAACACTGCCAGGACCACCCAAAAAAATTATGTACTTGATTTTGAATTAATTTTTGGTTGTCAAGTGTTCAGAAACCTGCTGTTAATGGTGTTTTTTATGACTTCCACATTCAACTACATGGCCTATGTGGCTTAAGAGTTTTTAGCTTTGATCAAGAGCATTGTTTTCACTGTGTTCTCTGAATGCCGGAAGTCACGTAGGGTGTCCCAGGATATGACTGGAGACAGAGACAAAGCAATTCAAGTCCTTTTCTCCACACCACCGTGAGGAAGCATGTCCCTATCTTGCTTCCATGAACAAGAATGTGCAGCCTCAACTGTAAATAAGCTTCCCCGTCAAGTGAACAAGTGTGTCAGTGGAGACATCAAAAAGTACAATCGTGACTTGACCACGCACAATTGGCTTCAAACTTTATAAGGCTATTTTATTTTATTATTTTATTTTATCCATGTGTTGGAACTGAACAGGAAGTCATTGAGTTAACATAGAATGTAATGTTGGAGTCTATGTCATTGAAAATCAAGTGATAAACTTCATATTAATTTTCAACTGATCTACAAGTGAGATACAAAAGATTTTATTCTGCTCCTAGAGATGCCTCAAATGCTTATAAATAGAAACAGAGAGAAATACAGTATTAATCATTTCTAGTTTGGCTTTCATCTAATAAAAATGTGTTATTTGGAAAGAGTGTGTAAAATAGCAGCCATGAAAACTTAGCAATTATAAAATGAAGCACAATTTTTTTCTTTTTAGCTTCAGAATGCAGGGATTCTAAATACTAGCTACTCAAGCAGCCAGAACTTGATGACATCACATGCAATTAAATTTTGATCTATATTTTAGTCTACATCAGTTCCCACATCACATTCAGTATCATTTGGAAATTTATTACTAAACCATTCTTTTTATCTTACATAATTAAAGTAAATCAAACAGTATATGTCACATAAAATAACGAGGGAAAGCCAACCCTTTTTATAGATAGAATAGATATTTTGAGCGATTATACTAAATGAATTTTGTAATATGATTTCAAACAATGTATTAATCTAAAAATATAAAACCTGCTTAAACTTAAATTTATTTTATCTCATACCATGAAAAAGGTTAAGGGACATTGTTTGTAAGATCATCATGAGTCATATGAGGCTGGAAAATGCTGCACCTGAACACAGAGTCCAAGGGACTGGAAGCTGAAGATTGGCAGAGGCCAATGATGGACTTGGCCGGAAAGGTAATGAATGACCAGAATGAGTCTTAAGATCTTCCTGATGGGGTGATTTCAAAACTTTTGATACATTTTGCATGTTGTACACACATCTGTACATGTTCAGGTGTGCACGTTGGTCTGCATACTCATGTAGAGGTGCATGGTGAACTTCAGGGGGTCCTCAACAGCAGTGTCTCTTTTGTTTCTTCCAACAGAGTCTCTCACCAGTCTGTAATTTCCCCCATAGGCTAGTCTGTCTGTGTCTGTGTCTCCCCAGTGCTGGGATGACAAATGCCACCACACCTGGCTTTTTAACCTGCATTCTGGGCCGCAGACTTGGGTTCTCATAGTAAACACTCCCCCTGACTGAGCCGGTCTCCTCAGCCAAATTATCTTGCATTTCTAATTGGCCTGTATTATTTTCCACATTAGCAGGGGCCTGTATGCAGAGCAGTACATACATAGAGCAAACTGACATGGCCAGCTCCTGTTCCTCTCTGGCTACAACCTCTACGCTCTTCTCTTGTGTATCCTCATGAGCTCTATGATGGGATATATGTGAGCCACAGTTACTCTGTAAGAGAGGTCACCATGCCTCTTCTTCTTGGCTAGAGATGATAGCCATACTCCTCTGACCTCCATTACCCTCAGTTACCTTCCCAACAGTTCTTTCTTCAAATATGCCGTGGTGGTTTGAAATGACAATGGCCCCCAAGAGGCCCACAGGAAGTAGCACTGTTAGAAGGTGTGGCCTTGTTGAAGTGGGTGTGGTTTTGTTGAAGAATGTGTGTTGCAAGGGGGTGGGCTTTGAGGGTTCAGAAGCTCAAGTCAGGCCTAGTGGCTCGTATTTCTTCTTACTGCCTGTCAGTCTGGATCTAGATCTCTCAGCGATCTCTCTAACATCATGTCTGCCTCTGTACCATCGTGCTTCCCGCCATGATAATAATGGAATACACCTTTGAAACTCTAGGCCAGCCCCAATGAAATGTTTTCCTTTATAAGAGTTGTTGGGGTCATGGTGTCTCTTCACAGGAATAAAACCCCAACTAAGACGTATGGTTATAACGGGGATCATAGCTTTCACAGGACACAGTTTATTCCCTAACAAGCCCTTTTATCTTTATGCATCTATGTTCTATTTTCTTTCATATAACTATTCTGGCTGCTTTTTTTTTTAAGTTTCTCTTTCTGTCTCCCCCTCCCCTTTTTTTGAGGCTAGGTCTCACTATAGCCAGGCTAAACTGCAATCTACTATGTAGCCCAAGCTGGCCTGGAACTCACTATGTAGGCAGGATGGCCTTTGGCTTATGGCAGTCTTCTAGCCTCAGCCTCCTGACTGCTAAGATCACAGACATGGGCACACCTGGCTGGCTGCATACTTTCAAAGAGTAGTCGATGCATGTGCTGTCAATGCGGTTGTGATAGCTGATGCCGTGGGCTGTGTGGTTGAAACAACCATTGTTCTTCTTAGTGGTTCTGCAGACTAGGGCTCTGGGATTGGGGTGTAGCATGGTGGGCTCTCACTTTTCCTGCAGAAGCAGTCTTCTACTTATACCCTCGGAGGACAGAGACAGTGAGCTCTCTCTAGATCTCTCTATGAGGACATGGATCCTACCAAGAGGACTCCATTCTCACCATCTGCTTATCTTTCAAGGGCCTTGCCCTCATCTCCAGTGTCTGGGGATATTACAGAGAATAAGGTTTTATTTTTATTTTTTGTATTTTATTACATATTTTATTGCAATATGATAAGAGATTTTAAGAAGGAAACCTAGGTATACAAGTGAAATTCATGTGTGTTTCAACTTATGCACATAGCCTGACTATACTTTTATTGGATATTTATATATGTATGTGTGTGTTGACATGTATTTACCAGTGTGTGTGCACGAGGGTGTGCATGTATGTGGAGGCCAAAGGTTGACAGTATGCGGCTTCTTTAATTGCTCTCCTGTAGTTGGAAGGTTTCTCTGGTCCTGCCCTGCCTGTGGTCCCACAGCCGCTTATAAAATAATTAATCAGAGGCTTATATTAATTGCCAATTGCGTGGCCTATGGCAGGCTTCTTGCTAGCCAGCTCTTATAACTTTTTTCCATTTTTATTTATTTATTTTTTCTATTTTCAGCTTGGTACAGTATAAATTCTTATCCTAATAGTGAAATGTTTCACTAAAGCTTGTCTGGTAATTGAGTAAAACCAAAACTTATTATAAGCCACAGTCATCTTAGAGTCCCCCCTGCTTTGTAGCCTCCCTGGTTCTGTGGGTTGCAGTCTGATTGTTCTTTGTTTTATATCTAGTGTCCACTTATGAGTGAGTACATACCATGTTTGTCCTTCTGGGTTTGGCTTACCTCACTCAGGATGATATATCTCCTATAACTCAACCCATTTCTATTTATCTATAAATTGCCATGTGGCTGTGGCTTACCAGTACTTTCACATCTTGCTTCTCGTGCTGGCGTCTTTCTAGACTCTGCCTTTCTTCTTCCTCTCTCTCTCCTTGCATTTCCCACCTGCCTCTAAGCTGCCTTGCCATAGGCCAAAGCAGTTTATTTATTAACCAATGGGAACAACATATATTCCCAGCGTACAGAAAGACATTCCCCAGCACTCTCCACTTTATATTTTTAACAGTTTTAAAAGTATTTTTATGTTTATCTATCTATCCATTTATTTGTTTATGTGTGTATGTTGGTGTGCATGTGCCAGGGCACATGTGGAACTTCAGAGGACAACTTTGTAGGAGTTGGTTCTCCTTCTGCTACATGGGTTCCAGTGATCAAACTCAGGCTTGGTGACAAATGACTTTACTGAGCCATTTTAACCGCCCACCACTTTGCTTTCTGAAATAGGGTCTTTCATTGGCTTGGATATCAGTATTTCAGCTGCACTGTCTGCCTGGGAGCCTCGAACATTCTCCTGTCTCGACCTCCTCACCACTGGGATTACAAGTGCCTGTCTTTTTACTCAACTTACACTAAGTGCTTGGGATTGGGCTCTGTGAATCACTTTACTGACTGTGTTCTCTCTCAGCCCCTGAGCCTACATTTCAATAGTGACATGCTGTCACAGATAGACAGCCATGTTGTTTTTTGGCACGATCGTGGGAGGATTTTGGAGTTTGGGCTGGAAAAGCCATTGAGCGCTCAGAGCTTGCAGAGCTGTTCTGTGGGAACCGTGAAGATGCGAACGCTGAAAGGAATGTGGAGGCCTGGCTTGTGAAGACTCCACAGGGGCGTTGGGTATTTTTGTTAAAAAAATCCAGGGAACTGAAACCTTTTATTTTTCACTGGGAAAATGAGTGCTTATTAACTGTTTTTGAAAAGTCAGCTGTGATTAAAAGACCAGCATCATTGAGGTAAATCTTCTGGGAAGTATTTCCTCAGGGTCAGCCAGTGCACAGGAGCTGAGGTCTAGAGGGAAGCAAGGCTGCATCTCCAGCTGGCCGCTGAACTTGGTAATGTGTAAGAGCTCACATGGTATTTGTTTTGGTGGTGGGGGAAGCTGCAGTATTGAAGAGGTGATGGAGGGAAGCTAAGGCATGGCACTGTGTGGCAGGGTCAGAGTCTCAAAAAAGGGGCCATCAGAAGTCATTGTTGAAGGTATTCAGTGGAGACCACAGGATATTGGAGATGGCGGGACTGTGGGATGCCTGCCAAGGACAGGGGCAGGTGCAGAGTGAAGCTGGACCCAGCCTAGGAGACAAGCTGTGTGTTCTGGGGGTGACAGAGCTGGAGAAATTGAGGATATAGCCAAGCTTTTTGGAGCCAGATCATAAGGGAGTCTCAGATATTGGATACTGAGCTTTTTATACTGCTGAGCTTTTGTTTTTGCTGTATTTTACTGAAACTGTGCCCTTCCTTGTCTTGGAATAAGAAAGTGTTTAACTTTTTTAAAAATAGTCATCCACAGTTAAGAGACTCTAGATTTTAAAAAAGACCTTGGACTTTTAAAGTGTTAAACATTTTAAAGACTGTGGGAATTTAAAAAGTTGGACTGCATTTTATTTTATGATATTAACATGAGATGTTGGGAGCAAACAGGAAAGGGAAGGTTATGGTTTAAAGTGATATGTTTGTGTGTCAAAGATAACAAGGGATGGAATGTCACAGTTAGCCTTAGCTGTCAACTTGACACACCTCAGAAGGGTGAACCTTAATTGAGGAGTTAGCCATAGTTTGGTTTATGGGCATGTCTGTAGTCAATTTTCTTGATTACTAATTAGGATAGGAACATCCAACCCACGGTGGACAGTACTGTCCCTAGGCAGGCAGGCTTTGGATGGATAAGAGAGGTAGCTGAACATGAGACAGGAAGTAAAATAGTAAGTTGCATTCCTCTGAGGTTTCTGCTTCAAACCATGCATTAGGTTCTGGCTTTGGCTCAATGGTGGATTGTAATTTGTATGATTAAAACAAAGTGACACATAATGAAACCTTTCTTCCCAAAGTTGCTTTGGCGATGGTGTTTGTTACAGCAACAGAAAAAGCAAATCAGAACACATGCAATGTAAGGTGTTGGATCTCCTGCAGCTGGTGATCAGCAGTGGTGACTTACCTGACATGAACAGAACTCCAGTGTCAGTAACAGAACTCCAGTCCTGTGCCAAGAGCAGGAAGTGCTCTTAACCATTGGGCCATCTCCCCAGCCCACAAGACCACCTGCCTTTTATGTCACATGAAGGCTAGCTATCAAGATAAAACTTGATTTAAAAGAGAATTCTATGCTTAGGCATGGTGGCATATGCCTATTTTCTCAGTAACTGGGAGATAGAGGCAGGAGGATCAAGAGTTCTAAGCCATCCTCAGGTAGCTACATAGTAAGACCCTAACTCAGACAAACAACAAGGACAAGAATCCTAACAGACCATTCCCTTGGTTTCTGTTGCATATGTAAAGTTTGACACTATTGCGGATACCGAAGTATATTTAAATAGACCTATATTTGGCCCCTGGAGAATGCTGCCTCTGATCATTGGTAGGTAAATCCTGTCCTGTTCCCCTCTGTCACTTTTCTCAGGATCT